TGAAGGTGCACTTGTTTGGAGCAGCATCATCTCCAGGGTGTGCAAATTATGGCATGAAGTATCTAGCTAACCAGAATAAGATAGAGTTTCCCCTAGCAGCAAGTTCCTTACAGGGTGACTTTTATGTTGATGATGGGCTTATCAGTACAGAATCAACAGATGATGCAATTAAATTAGTGAAGGAGGTACAAACCGTGTGTTCTAAAGGAGGACTACATCTTCACAAGTTTATTTCAAACAGCAGAGAAGTAATGAAAGCCATACCCATTAGTGAAAGAGCCAATGGAATTAAGAATGTTGATTTGAGTCATGACAGTCCCAATAGAGAGAGTACTTGGGATCCAGTGGTGCGTAGAATCAGATACGTTCAAGTTTAACATACAGGCTAAAGATCAACCTCCCACCCGACGTGGAATTCTTTCCACAGTAGCTTCAATTTACGATCCACTGGGATTTCTCGCTCCATTTATCCTCATTGGCAAACGAATTCTTCAAGTAATGTGTAGGAAAAACATAGGTTGGGATGAGCCGCTATCTGATAATTTACGGCCAATATGGGATAGGTGGAAAGCTGATTTTGAGAATTTAAAAGCTGTTCAAGTACCAAGGAGTTACAAACCACACGACTTTGGCAAGATCCTGAGCACTGAGCTGCATCACTTCTCAGATGCCAGCACCAGTGGTTATGGTCATTGTTAATAGCCGTCCACTCACAGTAGAGATGCTGAATGATCCTACAAGTCCTGAACCTTTAACTCCAAACCATTTACTCACCATGAAAACATCATTAGCACTGCCCCCTCCAGGTAAATTTGAAAAGGAAGATTTGTACATCAGGAAACGCTGGAGAAGAGTACAGTATTTAGCTGAGCAGTTCTGGGGTAGATAGAAGAATGAATACCTGAATACACTGACAAAACGACAGAAGTGGAACACACAGAGACGTAATATCAAGGTGGGAGACATAGTCTTATTGAAGATGAACAACTTCATCGAATGCAGTGGCCATTGGGCATCATAACTGAGATTGCGGTGAT